AAATGCAAACTTTTCAAACAGGCCCGCCAATTCGGGCAGGTTTGGCCGCGGAAACCACCCTCCCTCCCATCCCCCGGATGTCCAGAGGCAGCAGCACATGCCCGCGCGTTCAAGAGCACTAGAGCTGGGGAGACTGGATTGTCACCATCAGGGCTCGCTGGGATGTTAAGTCAGAGCTCCTCAGTGCCAGAGGGACGCGGGCCAAGAACAGAAAGGCGAATGTTATTAAATGCAGCTGAAGAAAGGCAGATTTCCCAGTGTGCCTCATGGTCTTCCCCCAATTGACTCATTTACTTACTGCTGGGTTCTTTTTCTCCACCCTTTTCTTATTATGAAAACTTTCAATGACACAGGAAAGTTCGCTATTTTAGGGAAATCTAGCAAAAGCCCCAGGAGGGCCTCTTAGATTTTGCCCAACTTCTCCCCCGGACTGCCTGATAGAATTTACCCTCTGGGGACTATCACAATCTGGGACTAAATTAGGGCCCCTGCTCCCAGGGGATTTTATTCTACCTGGGGAGAGAAGTCACTAATGCAAACTTTTTTTTTTCCCCCTTAAAATAGTTTACACCTTACAAAGCACTTACACGTTCCTGATCCCATTAAAAGTATAAGTCAGAACTGAAAGGAAATTTAGAGATCATCTCTAGGGGTCAAATATTGGCAAATACTGGGCTACTTGCTAAGCTCCTGCCCATGGCAGATGTGGCTAACACACCACACACTCGCTCGTTTGTCTATTCACTTATTTACTGGACATCCTCCATGTTCCGCACAGCACGTTAGTAATAAAGCAGAAAACCAGACAGACTTGTTTGGTACCTGATGGAACTCCAAGGGGAAGAGAGACATTAGACCAATAATTACATGCATGAAGAGTGTTTTTAAGCCGGCGCGGTGACTAATAACTGTAATCTTAGCACTTTGGGAGGCCTAGGCAGGAGGATCACCTGAGCCCAGGAGTTTGAGACCAACCTGGGCAATATAGGAGACACCATCTCTATTTTTTCCCCACCCACCTCTATTTTTTTAAAAAAAGTGTTCTTGGCCAGGTGTGGTGGTGCATGTCTGTAATCCCATTACTTTGGGAGGCCGAGGGGGGCAGATCACGAGGTCAAGAGATTGTGACCATCCTGGCCAACATGGTGAAATGCTGTCTCTATTTAAAAAATTAGCTGGGCGTGGTGCATGCGCACGTAGTCCCAGGTACTCGGGAGGCTGACGCAGGAAAATCGCTTGAACCCGGGAGGCAGAGGTTGCAGTGAGCCAAGATCCCGCTGCTGTCCTCCAGCCTGGGAGACAGAGAAAGACTCTGTCTCAAAAAAAAAAGTAATAGTAATAATAATAATAATAATGTGTTTTTGTTGTTGTTGCTTTGTTTTTTGAAACAGAGTTTCACTCTTATTCCCCAGGTTAGAGTGCTATGGCCCGATCTTGGCTCACTGCAACCTCCGCCTCCCAAGTTCAAGCGATTCTCCTGCCTCAGCCTCCCGAGGAGCTGAGATTACAGGTGCCCACCATACTCCCGGCTAATTTTGTATTTTTAGTAGAGACGTGGTTTCTCCATGTTCATCAGGTTGGTCTTGAACTCCCAACGTCAGGTGATCCGCCCACCTCAGCCTCCCAAAGTGCTGGGATTAGAGGCGTGAAACACCGCACCGGGCGTAATAAACTGTTTTTAAAAGCTGGTGTTGGGGAAGACAAGGGCATCACACACTGGGAGGTACCCCGGGGGTGGGACAGGGTCTGGAAAGTCTCTCTCAGGAAGTGATGTTTAAACTGAAGTCTAGGAGATTAGGAAATGAGTCTCTGAGAGGGTGGATAAATATTACATACCAGTATGACCTGAGTGAGGTCACCTCCAGGGCTGAAGAAAGAGCTATGGATGCTAAGTGGGGGTGGGTGTCCAGAGGAAAACAGAAGGTTGGTGGAGCAAGGCCTTAAAGACAAATATGTTGACAGGGAGAGATGGGTGGAAGAGCTTGAGCTAAGGGCAGATATTGTTTCTCCTCCTAAGCTTCCCAGGATAGCAGCGTTCATCTACTGTCATTAAAAACAAAGAAAAAGTTGTAATTTATTGGCCATCTAGTATGTGGTGACAATTTTCATGAATTCTCACATCTTCCTTGTAAGACAAGTATTCTTCCAGTTTTACAGATCTAGAAAAGGCTTGGAACGGCTAGAGACACTTGCTAAGCCTGCCCGTCAAGTAGGTAGCAGAGCTGAGATAGGAACACATGCCGGCCTGCCTTCCTAAGCAGACGCGCTTTCCACAATGCCTCACTGCCATTAAAATCCCAGGCCGAGGCTTGCTCTAACAGCAATCAAATACCACTTGGAAAGGACAGATCTTTGAGGAATCAGAAATATTTCTGGGGAAAGGATGGGCAGAGGTGCCCCCGGTGGGTGGATACCACTAGGCAGAGGTCGGTGCGGAAGAAGCCGACTTGTGGCGTGGGAGGTAGGGAGGAGTGAGAAGTGATTGACGGGGCCTCCCTGGCTGCTCTAGGACTGCACTGCAGGGAGGTGCCGGCTCTAACCACTGCCCGGCCCGGTTAATCATTTCCTGACCTTCCTTCCTCCTCTCGCCCTGGCCGCAAGATTGCCACATCAGTCTTCCCCCTCCCCCTGCTCCCCTTCTGGACCCGAGGCTCCTTCGCCGGGTTTTACAAGGAGCCCCACTTGGAAGCAATATTTGTAATAGCCCCTGACGTCCTCAAGTGCCCCAGTGAGGTCGCAGGCTCGATCCTGAATACGCCGGCCCAAGCAGCCCCATGAGGCTTGCTCTCTCTCCAGCCCCTTACTAAAAAGAGGTCAGAGGGTCACGGATCCAATCATGGCACAGATTAACAAGTTACAGACTCGGTTTCCCCCGCGGTAAAAGGGGAACGGTAGCAGTTAGCTGGTAAGGTGTCGCGATGCTTAAATGCGGTGTGTGAAGTGCCTGGCTGGGAGACCGTAAGTGTCTAACAAATGCTAGATCCCTTCCCTTATCGCCTGGAGGGGAGTTTAGCTTGCCCAGCAATCCCAGGCTACATTAATCTCAGTTGAACTTCCAGCTTTGAAAGTCCTGCGACGTGCTGGAGGTAACGCAAAAGGTGAGTCACAGTGACAGGGTCTGAATGCAGGTTCATGGGCGCCCCTGCGGGCCCAGCCACGCAGCATCTAGGTGGCTGGCTAAGGCCACGTGTTCAGAACCTTGAACCGGCTCTGGATCGCACCTGCCGCAGGGAGCCCAAAGCTAAGTCGGAACTGCCCTGGCACCCATCAAACCCGCTGCCCGCCTTCCCCGGAGCCAGGCCGTTGCCCTCCCCCAACTTGTTTCTTCGTGTATAAAATGAAGGTCATGGTGCCAGTCTGCCCCAGAGGTTTTCATCTTCTTCACGCTTTGCTATGCGGCGGGATTTTTACCACTAAGCCGCGGAGTAGTCGGCACTACGTAGGTTCAGTCTCCTCCGCCCACCGCAGGAAACACCGCAGACCGCCTGGGGTGCCCCGCTCGGCGCCCCACTCTTCTCGGTTACGGGGAAGCGGCGGGACTAGGGAAGTCACTTCGGAGCGCAGCGCGACTCTGCGCCACCAGCTGGAGCGCGCCGGGACCCCACCCTGCGGGGTGGACCGGCGCGGGCCAGGGGGCGGGGCTCGTCCGGGGGCGGGGCTCGTCCGGGGGCGGGGCCGGCCTGGGAAGGCGGAAGCCTCCAGTCTGGGGGTGGCTGCAGAACCCGGATCTCGGATTTACACGTTCTACGGAGCGGGGCGCGGGGAGACGGCAGGCGAGAAAACCCGGCGCCCGGAAGCCCGTGCTTTCTTTGACGCAAGGGCTCGAGACGCAGCCGCCGTCGGCCGAGCGCCGGGCTAGAAGCGACCCCAGACGGAGCCTCCGGAGTTTCTCCGCCCCCACCTCGCCCGGTCCCGGAGCCACGGTCTTCTTAACTACCTTCCTCGTGGCCATGGAGTGTCCACACCTGAGCTCCAGCGTCTGCATCGCTCCAGACTCAGCCAAGTTCCCCAACGGCTCCCCATCGTCCTGGTGCTGCAGCGGTGAGTGCGGCCCCGGGCCGGCCCCGCCGCGCACCCGAGGCCCCGGCTCTGCCGGGCCTGCCGTCCAGGGGCCGCGGGCGGCCGGTGCAAGGACTTGGGGAGGGGCGAGGGCGAGCCGGGCCTGGCGGGCTGGGGAGGGTACGCGGTGAGGCGGGCGCGGGCGGGAGCGGCTGCTGCTCCTTTGTTTCCCGAGGCCCGACGGCCGGGCAGGCGAAGGAGAGGCCCGCGAGGGGCGGGAGTCCTCGGAGCTCTGGAGCGCGTGGGGGCAGCGGCGGGCGGGGACCCTCGCCCGCGGCGCGCGCCCTTGCCCCGCCCTACGATGGCCTGGGGCTGTGCCCGTCCGTGTCGCGGGGTCGCCTGTGGGGCGGGTGTCCGGCCCCCGAGGGGCGGCCGCACGTGTGGCGGGGCCCGCGCCGCGCTTCTCCGCCTACAGGACGCGAGGATCGCCGCTCTCCCGGCGCAGCATTGTCTGGGCTGCGGGACGCGCGGTGGCTCCTCTCCGCCGCCGGCCCCGGCCCCGGCCCGGCTTTCCTTTCCCTTCTCCTCAGGCTTCGGCACCCCGAAACCCCGAGAGGCGCTCGGAGCTTGAGCGGCGGAGGTCGGGGTCTTTCATCCGCCTGGGAGGGTGAAGTTTGAAAATGGGCTGCTGGCTGAGAAGCTCGGAGGCTGAGCCAACAGCTGTTTTGGAGGGGACGGCTCGAGTTTGCTTTTCACACCTTCGGGGTTGTCCGAAATTGCGTTGGGATTCCCGAGTTCCTGTGTTGTGAAACAGTTATTAGGTTTATGTAAGGCTTTTGAGTAGCTTAAGCGTTTTAACTCCTCCTGCGGGCCCCCTTGGAAGCCCCAGTGCCCTCTCATTGTCTGCTCTAAGCGACTTCTTAGGATCGCACCGGCCACACGGCTTTGATTACTTCCTGGTAGGGCCCTTGTGCCACCGCTAGTCTTTTGTTTATTAGCTTGGAGATGATCACTGGTAGCTTGGGTTATATTAATAGTGTACAATTCGAACTGTTCGCTTCAAAAATCTTAAGTTTATTTGAAGAAATGTAGAAAAACGGCGATGGTATGGTTTCGCTGTGACATGTCTCGTTGTGGACCGGAGCTGAGAAGATAGTTTAAAGAATGCCTTAACACTTTTGACAGCTTCTTAAATAGTGATTATGTCCTTGGAAAAAAACATTGGTAGGTCCACAAAGAAAAATAAACTCTGGGATAAGGAATAGAAGTAATTGCGGTTTCTTGGCGCGCTCAGACATCTGATGCTTTGCTTACCTTTGTGAAGTCAGGTATCTTTTTCTGCATGAAGCCTTTAAAAATTAACGGGTTAATTAGTTTCACAGAGTAGTATTGCAGTTCTTTTGTGAGGGTGCAGACACCTGTGTAAATTACCTTTTGCCGAATAAATCTGTTGGAATGTCGAGTATGGAACAACAAATAGGGTGTGTGGCACCACTTTACAGATTGGTTGGTGGTGGTGCATTAGCCATAACTAGCTATTGGTGTGTGACATAATTGTAACTTAACTTTTTTCCCCAGAAGAAATTTGAAAACAAAAAAAAAAAAGACCAAAGTAAACGCTAGAAAAGCCTGCCTCACAGGGAATGGTTGGATTACTCTTGATCATGTGTAGTAAACTACAGAAAGACAAAATGGACAATTTAGTACACTTCTGGCATTTTCTAGGTAAAATCGCATCAGTCTAAAAAAAAGAAAATAATTGTGCAAGTGGCAGATACCCTCTTGTGAGTCAGACTTGCCTCTGTCAGGGAGTCCACTTGAGTGTAAAAGAGATACAGGAAATTGAGCATCTCTTGAAGAACTTAATAAGTTAAAGTGGAGCATAAGGAGATGTGCTGATAACAAGCATGAACTAGTATGTTTAGCCATAAGGGAGGAGTAAGATGGCATCTTTGCGTCTTGTAACAAAGTGTACCTGACGAAGCTTTGCGAGCCTGATTCTAGTCACTTGCTTGGATTTGTAGAACCAATAAAGCTCGTTTTGCAACTTTGTGTGAGTCCGCAATCTGAATCGAACCCATTTCATGCAGGTTCAACCCATTTGATATAATCCAGCATTATTGTATTAAGCTTGATCTTGTGGGCCTGTTGGTTCAGTGATTAAATGATTAGCAAATCTGTGGGTCCTTAACTAACTCGTTATCTTAGAGTGTTATATAGTCTGGTATTTTTTTCTCCCCTACTCTTTGTTTTATTTTATTATTTTTGGTAGGGAACCAAAAGGGTAGCTGGTGAGTTGAGTAATACTGTGACTGGGTATCGAATCTGATTACGTTCTTATTAAGGAGGGGAAGATCCCTATTTTGGCACTGGGGCAATATAAGTAGTGCCCTTGCCTTATTTTCTTTGGGAGTTTGTACTTATGCCACAGCGAGACAGCCAAGCAAATTGCAAAATCCCATAACATTCTGGGTTCCATCAGCTAGCAGTACCTAATTGGACAAATAATTCTATTTTCTTTGAGTATCAATTTCCTTATATAAGCCGTAAAAAAGGATCATACTTTGCATTTACTTCACAGGTGACGGTTATGATGAACAAGGTAATTTTTTGTGAAAACTTTGTGAAACTTGTGTACACTATTCAAGTAATAGGTGGTATTAGAGGTCAGAACATCTTTATAGAGAGGACTCTGAATAATTAAATATCCAAAGCCCATTAAATGGGGACTAGAACGGACTGGCTTTATGCTGAATGATGCTTTACAGGGAGATACAGAACTCAACAAGCTTACAAGAAGTAAGAAGTAATTTTACTTCAGAATTAACATGAGCTTCTTATCCGTGGAAAGCACTGTGTGTTAGGTTATATAATTGTGTATTACAGCAGTTCTTACACTTTTTGTTCTTAGGACCCCTTCGCAGTCTTAACAATTGTTGAGCACCAAAGAGCCTTTGTGTAGCCAGTATTGGTTGATATTTGTCACATTAGAAATTAAAACTGAGAAAACCTTAAAATATGTATTCATTAATATGCTTACAAATAACAATAGACCCACTACCTGTAACATAAATTGACAGCTTATGTAAAATGTTTTTCAAAACAAAAATTTAGTGGGAAGAGTGGCATTATTTTACATTTTTGTAACTCTTTGTTCAGCTTTATAGAAGACAGCTAGATTCTTACGTTGCTTCTGCATTCAGTCTCTTGAAATGTCACACATCATGTAGCCTCTGGAACACCCCACTGCATGCTTGTGAGAAAATGACAGTAAACAAAAGTAACATCTTAAATATTATTTATGAAAATCCCTTTGACCTTCTGGACCACCTGAATGGGTCCTGGAAACTTTCAGGGTTCCAGGACCACATTTTGAGAACCCACTTGTGTAAGCTATAGTTAACAGTTAAGGATACCTGCTCCTATCAAAATAACTTTAAATAATTGGAGAAATCCTTAAGGCTAGCAATGTGTATGTTTCTTTGGAGACCCGAGGTTTTGAAGTGTATTAGCTGGGAAATAGACCGTGGGGATTAGTAGTCCTCTGCTCTCAAAAAAAAAAAAAAAAAAAAAAGGTAACAGTCGAATCCAACTGAGAGACAGGAGGCTAACTAGAAGGTAAATCCATGCTGTGGTTTAAGGTGAATGTTGAAAATAGCGATCTCCTAATAACGTAAAGGCTGATTTATGTCTAATTGTTGCTGAAGGGATTCTAATTTTAAATGAAAAAGTCTTATAGCTAGGACATTTTCTCAAGCTTTTTGTTATGTGCACATATCAGATGTTATTTTCAGAAGCTGGAGGTTTGGGCAGTCCTTATTTTTGTGGGTAAAAAATTTAACCAGTGGGGAAAAGCACAAATTGTTTAAAAAGATGCCCTGAATACAAGTGTTTGAATAACTAAGGAAAGCCAAAGACCAAGCATTTGAACTCAAGGGTTTGGGTTAAACAGCCAGTTAAATTAGAGAGATTTAGTAGGCTAGGCATGATAATTTTTCTCTGATTAATTCTTCCACGAGTTGAGAGTGCCCCTTTAAGTTTTCAGTTCACACTTGCCTCATATTACTGTACGCAAGAAAAAGTAAGTGTAGATCAAGTAAACGTTATGCAATTTTGGGTGGATACTGGAGATAAACTGTTTTTTAAGGGATCCGCTCAGTAAGATGAGGTGTTGATTATTGGTTGTCAGTGGTAATAAATTTGTAATGGACTGATCAGGTTGTGATAAAAGGTAAGAAATCACCTGGAGTGATGGGTTATTTTGTATTGTATTTCTCCCCAACCTACATTTAACACTCTTGTTTGCCCAGTGGACTAAATTTTCTAAATATAGTCAGTCATTTGCTTGTCATTAGGTCAAATGCATTTACTGCTTTTTAGTAACATTCTATGATGTATTAAGTGTCTAACATTTAATAGGGCAATGAGTAAATATTTGCCTACTAAATAAAGGAACTTTCACTTAGATGTGGCTGGAAGGGTCTTTATGTTGAAAACATGCAGAGTCAGTGGGCTTTCCCTCAGAATGCTTTCACTGGCCTGCACTCCCAGTGTAGGCTGGATTGTGAGCAAATGACCATCTGCAGTGTTGTTATCACAGTGAATTTGTGTTCTTTTGGTAGTCTGTATTTATAGATGGGCAGGTGGACAATTTAGTTGTAAATGTGGAAAAGGTAGTTAAAAATCAGTGGACAGGTGATACTTTTTTCACATTAATTCTAAAATTTAGTATTTGAGTTTTATATATCCTTCTGAAGAATTTAAACTTTGTTGGTAATATTTATAAAGCTGAAGGCAAATGTCTTTCTAGTCTTTCTGCCGTGTTCCTCCCCCGCCCCGTCTCCCAGAATCTTAAAGCAGTCTCAGGTTATTTCCAAAGTCTCTAAATGATTGGTCATGGATGTGAAATGTGTGAAATTCAGAATGTGCTCCATGTATGTGTTTTGTTTAAAGAGGCTGCAGTATAGAGATTGAGCTTAACATTTCCTTGTTGTGAAGAAGTTTTGACACATTGATCAGAAGTTATTTTCCTAGTAACATGCTTAATAGTGCGTAAAGAACATCCTTCATGGTCTAAGCAGAAGAAATGATGGAGTTGGGGGAAGAACTCTAACTCTTTGGTGTGGTTTCCTGTTATTTATCCCCATAATAATTTCTTCTCATTCTTGGCGTGTACAGCATTAGCCTTAGGCTCGTTTAACAGCCTACTTTTTCCTCATTGAAATTGATGTAATTTCCTTCTACACTGGAATATAAAAGATTGATCTTGGGTTCTAGCTAGATTTAGAGATACTTATGTTTTATAGTGTTTGCAGCTCAGTGAGTAGACCAGTGAGCAGTTTACTATGTAGCTCAGTGAGTAATTTAAATTCCTGTTTTAAAATTTGAGTCCCTCTTCCATCAGGGACTAATTTACATGTACATTTATTTCTCCTAACCTAACCTACTGTTTGTTTTTTTTTTTTCCTTTTTGAGCTTTTCTCTCCTTCCTGACCTTGTTTTTTTTTTTTTTTTAATTTACATTTTTTCTTCTTTGAAAACAAAACGTTAGTCTCCTTTGATTAAGCTGCAGTTTCTGACCTACATGCATACCGGTTTGTGTTCAACCAAGGCACTGAAATAGATTTAGTAGGTATATTATCAGTGTTTGAAGTGGAAAAGGTATGCTGTTTAACTTATTTTGATATTTTATGTTTATTCATAGCCTCTATAGACAGGAGAGCAATTGCATTCTAGGTGTTTTTAATAGAGCTTTCCTGGACAGATGGCTTGGAAGGAAGTACTTTGATGGATTCTCAGTAGGGGCTAGTACTTTTTGGAGGGTGTATTTATGATTAAGCTTACCTTGACTGACAATTTAGAATGCTGAGAATAGCATTAAGGACAGTAACAGCTTGTTGGTCTTACCTAGAATTGTCTTGTGCCAAGACCTCTCAAGATACACTGAGATTTCTGTGTAGTGGTCTGTTTTGAGAATGTAGGTAAGCATAGGTATCCTTGAGACTGAAAAGAAAATCACCTAAAATTGTTCATTGCAATCGTATCTTAAAATCTTTGGGATTTTTGAATGAACTTTGGCTTAGAAATTTGTAAAGACTGTCTTTTTAACTGCTGTGAGTCTGCAGATGTGAGTATAGTAATTCCAGATGTTTTCTCATCTGTTAGTTTTACTGAGGAGGAGGATAACTGAGAACAACATAAAGTAAATTCAAAGCAGTTTGCTAGCATTTAACCCTGACTAGTTTAATTAACTATGCATCCTTGTAGTTTTTTGTTTTGTAGATCATGAAACAGACAAAGGTTACGATGCATGCTTAGGATGCATGGGAGCTACTAAAGATAGCCCAAAGCTTAAACTCTAATGCTATTCAGACTTAGCTTGCCTTTTTTTTTTTTTTAAAGCAGAGTCTTCATTTTGTCATTCAGTAACTTAATGTTTTACCGTTTAAAGAATATAAAATGTTTGGAACACAAACTATGTTTTAAATTCCGTATCTCAAAAATTACTTATTTTAAAATTTGGTATTTGATTACCCCCTCACCCAATTTAATATTTAAAATGCTGGCAAGTTGGAACAAGGATTTGGTGAAATACTTTGGAAGAAACAACTGTTTAAAATGTCAACCTTGTTATGCTCAGATCTAATTTTTTTGTAGGCTGAAATTCATATTGCACTAGTTCAGACATAAACTGGTCTCCTCACTGTAGCTATGGATAAAATGCAATTAGCTTTTGGTTATTTTAACAATGGGTTTCAGTTATTGAAGTCTCTCTACTTATTTTTTCATTTTTTTTCTGTTAGAATATTCTTCTTGGAGGTGATTTGTTGTAGGGTAGAGGAGGGAGAGAATTCTTAAGGTATAGAATTTTGCATTTGCTTCTGGTAGCTCAGAGGTTATTTGAAATACTTGCTTTTAGTCAGTGTACTTTGTTGATTCGATTTACTAAGTTTTTCTAAGGTTTTCCAATTGTATTTCCTGTAAAAATTACAATCTTTAGACTATAAAAACTACTATAATAACTGCAGATCTTAAGACACATTTCCCCCTTCTTTATTTTTAGATAGTCTTGCTCTGTCGCCCAGCCTGGAGTGCAGTGGTGCAACCTTGGCTCACTGCAACTTCCACTTTCCTGGTTCAAGCGATTCTCTTGCTTCACCCTCCTGAGTAGCTGGGATTCCGGGCACCTGCCACCATGCCCGCCTAATTTTTGTATTTTTAGTAGAAACAGGGTTTCACACTGTGTTGATCAGGCTGGTCTGGAACTCCTGACCTCGTGATCTGCCTGCCTCGGCCTCCCAAAGTGCTGGGATTACAGGTGTGAGCCACCGTACTAGCCTCCCCGCTTCTTAAGATATAATGAGAAGTGTATCTTCAATGTGTGCTATTCACAGATGTATAAAACGCAGATGAATTTAGGAAGCAATTTCAGATTTTGAAAACTGTTGAAATTAAACTTAGATATTGAAAAATCAAATTTGTGATTGTCTTAAATGTTTGTGTTAGCTAGATGCCTCACAATAAATACTAGCTAATATAAATATAGCTTATAAAAATAAGACCTTTGAAGAGGGAATTGAGAGTTTATTTTTATGATAAGCCAGGTTATATAAAATATATTGTAACTAACTAGATTTTATGTGGAGACTTTGTACTCTGCTTTAGTTTTTTTTCTGTTTCATTTTGTTGTTGTTTTTTTTTTTTTTTTTGGAGACAGAGTCTTGCTCTGTGGCCCAGGCTGGAGTACAATGGTGCAATCTCGGCTCATCACAACCTCCACTTCCTGGGTTCAAGTGATCCTTCTGCCTCAGCCTTCTGAGTAGCTGAGATAACAGGCACACTCCACCATGCCCAGCTAATTTTTTGTATTTTTATTAAAGATGGGTTTCACCCTGTTGGCCAAGCTGGTCTTGAACTCCTGACCTTATGATCCGCCTACCTCTGCCTCCCAAAGTGCTGGGATTACAGGTGTGAGCCACTGCACCTGGCCTCTGCTTTAGAATTGAATAGCTCTATCAGCATGAGCTGTTTCCATTCTTGAGGAGAAGTTTTCTCCTGTTTTTTTCTTTGTTCTAGCTGGGTTTAAGACACCCTTTGTAGAAATTGCTTGTCTGTTTATCTTTGATCCACCCTGAAGACTCTTAATTTTATGAACTGTTCTTGTACCGTGTCATCACTAGAAAAGCCCGCTGGAAATTAGCTGTCATATTTCTTCAGGTTTAACTTAATTGATTAGAAGAAAGTATAGTTTTTTTTTAGCTTCTTTAAATCCTTGTCCTTGATGACCAAGCTCAGGTTTTTATTTTTGCTTACTAATCTTACAGAGATAAGAGTCTCACTCTGTCACCCAGTCTGGAGTGCAATGGTGCAATCATAGTTCATTGCAGCCTAGAACTCTTGAATTTAAGTGATCCTTCCACTTCACCCTCTCAAATAGGCTGGAACTACAGGCATGTGGCACCACACCGAGCTGATTTTTAAATTTTTTGTAGAGATGGGGTCTGGATGTTGCACAGGTCTTGAACTTCTGACTTTAAGCCGTCTTTCCACCTCAGCCTCCCAAAGTACTGGGATTACAGATGTGAGCCACCAGGCTGCCTGGGTTTTCTTTTTTAAATAGTAGATTTTAAATTGTCCATTACTGTGTTTTGAACATTTGTTGCACAATACTGGGGTAATGTTTTGATTAAAGTTTTTGAAGATGAAGTTTAAATTTCTAGAAAACAAATTTCTGACATGGAATTACTCCCTGAGATAATTGATAGGCAACATGTTAGAAAAATGTTCTACTATGATATTAGGCATTTAAAAAATAACTGTATAATATAGACACTATGGGACCGACAATTGTAAAAATTGCTGATTGAGCAAATTTTAATTTTAGTTGCACACAGTAAAATGTTATTTGGTTTGAAATTGACTCTCATTTCCATGTGAATTATTTTGGATAGTAATAGTGAGATAGATACTTCAGCATTGGAGAAATTGCTTTATAACAACTAAAGGATCAAACTTCACCTTAAGTGTATGAAGTGGCTGGCAGAGCTCAACATTCGTGCCATGAGAATTTAATTCTGAGAGCCTAATGCATCCATTTCATTTTAGTCACTTTGAATATTTTGTTTGTGTATAGTTTTTTAGAGCCTCATTAAAAATATATGTATTTCTAGTTTTTTTCTTTGGACATATAATACAGATTTTTGGGTAAATGTGGGTCATTTTTGAAAATTGCATCTGTTGATTGTAAAAGGAAATTCAGACTCTTGGTTTTGGATAAAGAACAGCTATTTAAAAAAACTAAAATGGTTAATGGTTTTGGAGTTTGCATGTGCCTATTTTCTGAAATATTGATTATCTAACCCTTGGGCAGGGAATAAGTATTTGCCAAGTTTGTATTTTTCTTTTCTCTGTTTCTTCAAAATAAGTCCTGTTGATTTTAAAAGAATAGTTTCCCAGTAAGTACAAGTGCGGTACTTTCCCCGCTCCACTTTGTACTTTAGTGTTAACCTTTTTTACATAACCACAGAGAACTAGGAAGAGAATTGTACAATGCAGATATTAAGCCTGTTGTTCGCCAAGGAAAGTCTTTGCTGTTGAGGTCCCTAAACTTCTTATTTTATTTACTTGTGGGAGGGAGTGCTTCCTTAAATGTATGTAAGTCTTTTCTTATGTTGCATACACTTGCAACTATTATTTCCAAATGATAGTTGTGTGGTGTTCACATTTATGACCCGATTCATTTCTTTTGAAGTGCCACTACTGTTTAACTGTGGGGTTGCTTACTCAGTTTGTTGGCAACAGTATATAATTAATTGCGTCAGATCTTGCTGTATTAAATAAATGGAAACATTAGATGTCAGAATTTTTAAGTAGTTCATGGCTTTTGTTTTTTTTCTGTATATAATCAGCTTCATAGGGAAAGTTATTTTTGAAATAATTTGAGCTCCTGGAAATTTTTTTGTAACTATTTGTGTCTGGTCTCCCAAAGGCAAAAATGGCCCATTTTGACTCCGATGTAGTAATCTGCTTTGGCTTTAGTGGTTTTTAGCCTTCCCCCCCCACTATACAGTTCCGCGTATTTAAACTGAAGATCAGGAGACACATAATAGCTTCATTAGGTGTTTTTCATCCAAATAGATATGAAAAAGTCTGAATTTGTGGTAGAAGAAACTGTAACAAATTTGTTTAGTGCATTACAGTTTTTGAGAATATGTTGTTTCACACACATTGTTTCTATGTGTTGTTTCTGTTTCATGGTGAAAGCATAAGGAATCCATTTAAAAATAGAGTAAAATGCTAGAGCCAGTAGGGGGAGGGGACCAGCCTGTGGACCAGAATTTGCCTCTGTGTGGGAAGTCAGCAGGACCAGATGCCCCTCTCTTCTTTGGCTCTGTAGGTATCTGGATCTGTTAACATATAGATGACAAATTTTGGCCAGCTTTGAAATTACATTTGCTAGTAGAGGGCACATATCATGAACTCTGCAGTGGGAATAAGGAATTCGGTAGGTGCCTGACCCCAAATGATAAACTGCTATTTTAATTTTTATGCTGTATAACAGATTTTAGACATTTTTTAAAAAAGATAAAAATTGTTTGGGGAATTTCATGAATTGATATGAGTGTTACATCAGTTTACCATTTGAAGATTAATTCATGCTTTCAGAACAGTAATACACATTTCTGAAATAGAGTTAGGTAATAGTATCAAAGGGCTTAAAATAGAATTTTAGTTTTCCTCACCTCCACTGTCAGTCCTTCTGTCCAGAGACAACCTCTCTAAGCTCTGTTTAGCTTTCTGTCTCATGTTTACCTGCAGAATTCTAACCAATGCTCTGTGATTGCTTAATTTGTCATTTTTAGGTATTACTCCATGATATCTTGCTGTGGTAAATGAAGGCTAGAGTTTGCACAACTTGTCCTTCTGTCTCTCCATTTCCCAATATAATTAGATTACATATTTTAGTTAATATAGTGATTAA